GGCATGTAGCACACATGGGTGGGAAGCAATGGGTGCATACAGAATTTTGGTAGGGAACCCTTCTGGAAAACGACCACTGGGCAGACCAAGAAGGAGATGGGAGGATAATATCAAGATTGATCTTAGGGAGGTGGGATGTGAGGATGGTAATGTTATGGAGTTGGTTCAGGATCATGGCTGGTGGTGGGCTTTGGTGTTGTTCGTGTTGGACCTAACAGTTCTGCTACCAGGGAGTTAGTATGGAACATGAAGGCTCATTACCAGGTTTACAAGAGCTTGCTATTAGTGATGAGACATAAAGGAAAAGTTAATGCACCAGGATAGCTTAGTCATTGAAGTGACTGGTTATAGGCTGGAAAACAGGATTTGATACCCAGCAGGATCAGGGATTTTTCTCATTTCTGCTGCACCCAGACCAGGTCTGATGTCCACCCAACCTCCTGATTGGGACTGGGGTTCTTTTCATGGGGTAAGATGGTTAGATCATGAAGCTGGTCACTTTCCTCTGTCCAGTGCTCAGGTTAAGAATATGTGAAATTTTGCCTCCACTTTCCACCTTCATGGTGAGGTGTTTAGGCACCTTCACATTTACCTGTAAGATTTGAGGTTTTCACAGCGGTGAGTATGAAGATTTCTGTCTTCTGGGTTGTTGTGCTATGTAGTCTGGTCAATGTTTACCAACGTTTCAGAGGTCATACTGCCTCCGTCATCATTACGATGAATCACCCTGATGACGGAGGCAGTATCTCTGAAATGTTGGTAAACATTGACCAGACTACACAGCGCAACAACCCGGAAGACAGAAATCTTCACATTTAATATTTTAAGAACAGAACGTATTAAAATAAAGGCTACATGTAATCTATCGTAGCTTTCATGAAAAGTAGAATTGTATTTTATAAGTGTTTACATGTTCATGGGAGCAATGCTTAGCCTTTTAAGATAATTTTTGTTTTGTTTACAGTGGTAGCACTGTATCAGAAGACTCATCCTGATTATGCAAGTTACCTGTATTTGATGGCTCCCATTTCTCTTGTGATTCTGAACCCTATTGGCTTCATTCTCATGGAGCTTAGCAAATGTAACAACAGTATTAATCAACCAGGTAGTCATGAAAACATTGGTGGGACAGAATTGTCAAGGAGTAACAGCAAGCTGCAAGTGACTGGTGCTGTAATAAAAAGTATAATCCTCAATCCAATTGTGTTGATGACAGCACTTGGCGTTATTGGAAACCTGGTGTTCAACCACAGGCTGCCAGTAGCTCTATCTGGAATTCTCAAGGTATGCTGAAACTAAGATATACAATGCAGTTAATTTTGTCAGTATAGTAAGTGGAATATAAATAATACTTTTTGAAATGGAAACTTTTAAAAACTGTTTTTATTGTATTGAACTGAAACTAGAATTTTTAGAATAGATTCATCTGAAATCGTATCAGGAATATGTGATTTTTGGCAGTCGTCTAAGATTGTGTCTTGGGAGTTTTAGAGGCTGCGTCAGGTATCATGTATTTGTCTGTTGCCACTAACAGTGAACTACTGACCCTTATATGTGTGACACTTGACCACTCCTGCTTTGTAATGCTATGCTGAGAAACTTTATACAAAATTAAATGAGAAGTAACAAATATAATGAATGTGTTGTTTATGTGGTTTATACCTCCCGTTATGTTCTTTGGTCATTCTGACCTCTGCATGCCTGTTTAAAGTGAAGGCATGAATCTAAATTGCAGATGCGGAGAACCCAGCGAAGTGGTACTTTTATACTTCATATTGTTGGCAGGTCTTTGGCTCAGCATTTTCTGCCACAGCTCTGTTCCTTCTGGGACTTTGTATGGTGGGGAAAGTTCATACACTGCAAGGAGCAGCTCTAGTTGTTCCAGGAATACTTATTGCTGTCAAACTGCAAGTTTCATAGGATTTATCTTGTACTCAAGCATATTTCATTTAGGATTGTGTTTAAAAATCTCTGTTTGTGGAAATTTCATTTTATTACAGGGATCAAATTTAGATTGGTATTAATATTGGTTCCTTCATCACAAAATATTCTTTTAATTATATTTAGAACATATGTTAGTTTAGTACATTTATATTATATTAAATTATGATAAATATATAAGGCATAACTTCAGGGTGTGGCATAAATGTAATGGTGAGTTCTGCACACCATAACACTAAAGGACTTCATATGTTCATGCATCTGAAAAAGCCTTCTTTCCAAGTTATAGCATTCTTTTACTTTCTGAAATTTCTGAGGTGCTGTCAGATTTTTGTTTCTTCCCCCATCCTTGCAGCGAAAACTTCATAGCAGGTGTTCAAAGTACCTGTTTGGGACATTACAGAAGTATGTATAATGTAACTTGTAGTCTTTTGTCACACACAACAGTAATATTTATTTGTTTATTAACTTAGAAAATATTTCTGATGATTGCATTTTGGTCTAGTAGACCGTCTTCAGGCTCTTATATTACAATGTACAAAATTCATGAAACATTAGGTTAACTAAATTTTTTTGATTATATTGCAGACATGACTTCCTATGTGCATGCATCTGAGAAAGTGTTAAAGTATTATAAATGCACAGTCTAGAAGTATTTTGTTGGATCCAACATTACAAAGTTATTCTCTCATTCAGTGTATGGATAAAATATGTCACTGTTTAAAATCACATGTGTTGATGTCATTGTGATGGGGGGGTGTGTGTGTGTGTGTGTGTGAAACTAATGCATTTCAACACATAGGGAGGAGCATTCATGGCATTTGACATTTTTGATCCTGTGTTGATTGTTTCAAGATTGAGGTGGTAATTGTGGCCAGTTGTTTTAACTTATAGAATGGAAATGTAATATTAAACAAATTTTCTAAATTTTCTGCATTAATGAATGAAATATATAATGTATGAAGTGAAGCTTTCGCGGCGACTGAAGTTGTTGAAAGACTCTAAGGTTCCAAGCTTTGTCAGATGTTTGAATGGTGAATAAACCATATCTTTTGCCAACGTTTCAAGAACAACCTCTGCTCTCATCTTCAGGGCTGCTGCATAACAAATTGAAATATAATGTGTTATTTTCTCAATTAAAGATGGTATATATCTTGAGTAAGCTGTGTTAACTTCAACATACTTAGAAACATCTGGACTTGAACTGAAACCACTTAGGAAACATTTTGTAATGTCTCCATTATTTCCAAAAAATTAGGAATTTGTTATCAGTAAAATAATTTCTGAATGCCAATATATTATAAGATATCAAAAGATGAATATAAAGTAAGAAACTGCAGTTATGGTTATGGCTTCCAAGCAACCAGGCAGATGGAAACATAATGAAACCAATGAACAAAATAATTCTCTATGATATAAAATAATTAATGGAACTGCATTTCAGTCCATTTTTCTGCCATCAAAATTTACAGGTATCCAATGGCAGATATATGAATTGCTCATAATTTTCTGAAATCTGTCTAGCCCCCCCCCCCAAGTACTTTTGCAAGCATATTTTTACAGTACTATTTGCACACTTTCTCTTTATTTTCCTCAATTCTCTGCTATTAGAGAAATTTTAGTGATCAAATTTAGCAGTAGGCCTGTAGATTTTTTATACTAAATCTCATGTCATGATGAGTAGTTTGATGCAATGTTTAATCTCCCTCTCATGATAGGGTCACCCAAGTCGGACAGGTCTAAGGCGATGCGCTAGACTAAGAGTGATACCCTGGTCCTCCAGGCTGGGGCTTGGGCGTAAGGCTAACAACCTTTCACCTTTAAAAGAAAGCATTGTTACGAAAAAATCAACCGAACTTCGGATCAGGATGGACCCTTTGGCACGACCATGGCAATTGAAAAGGGATATGAGATTTGGTACTTGGAACATTAGGAGCCTCTATAGGGCTGGGGCACTGAAATCAGTGAGTAGGGAATTAGAGAATTATAAGTTAGACTTAGTGGAAGTGCGATGGGAGGGGGAGGGCACGATCCCAGTGGACAATTTTACATTTTTCTGTGGAAAAGGGAATGACAATCATCAGTTAGGGACAGGTTTTCTTGTTCATAGCAGAATTAGGGCAGCAGTTAATAGAGTATAATTTGTGAGTGACAGATTGGCTTACGTAATTTTGGAAGGACGTTGGTGCGACATCATTGTCCTTAATGTTCATGCCCCAACTGAGGACAAAAGCGATGATATCAAGGATAGCTTTTATGAAGAATTGGAATCAGTATTTGATACATTTGGCAAGTATCACATGAAAATTCTGCTAGGAGATTTCAATGCCAAAATTGGGAGGAGGGTATTTTCAAACCCAAAATAGGCAGGGAGAGTCTGCATGCACTTAGTAATGATAACGGTGTTAGAGCAGTAAACTTCGCTACGTTAAACGATTTAATTATAAAAGGAAAAAATTTCCATATCGCGATATTCTTAAATACACTTGGGCTTCTCTAGATGGTAGCACACACAATCAAATAGATCATGTTTTAGTAGATAAGAGAAGGCAGACAAATGTAATTGATGTGAGATCATTCAGAGGAGCAGATTGTGACACTGATCATTATCTGCTGGTACCAAAGGTGAGGGAGCGACTTTCAGTAAGTAGACGAACTAAACAAAATTTTGACACAGAAAGATTTTATTTGAAAAAATTAAGTGAGGGAGATGTGAAGGAAAAATATCAAGTGCTACCATGCAGGATACATATCCTGTCATCTCATCCTCAATGATTTGATGACTCCAACAGCATTTGGAGAGACGAAGCTTCACACCCATATGAAACGTTAAAATTATAGACATGAATATCGTGTCTCCGTTATCAGGGTCCTGTTGATGGGGCCAGTAAGCACCTCTGAAACGTCGGTCAGTTTCTACCAGACTACACGGCGTGAAATCTCATTATAAAATTATAGTTTCATATTTTAGTTATATTTTAAAGTGCAATTTTGTCCTGCATTCTGGCGATAGACTCAATATGTAGTTAATTTTCTTTACTTTAATTTATAACTAATTTCTTCTCAAGTCTGATAGAGCTTTTGAAAACTTCATACTTACTGACTGCTTTATTTTTACCTTGTTATTAGATGTGTGAATCGGATAAATATTATTTATATATTCTCGTTTGGAATTAACGTGCATTATCAGCATTTTCAATCTGCCCATGGAATGTTTATCTGCAGATCTACTTGCACGGTAGAGACTTAATCTCTCTGCACGCGTTCATCAGCCCAGAAATCCTGCCGGCAGAATATGGAGGCAGGAAGCCTAGTTTCGACAACAAGGGATGGAGATTGTCGCTTCTGGCGAACGAGGACAAGTTTGTTGGTGAGTATACAGTGTCGCTCACTCACAAAACATCGAAAACAACGAAACTTTATTCCAAGTCAATCAGTTCGTAGTAGCCTTCGTTTTCTATAACATCAGTAAATGTGTGTTAATGTTTGTTTCAGAACTGGAGACTTATGGATATAAAGTCGAAGATTTATCAGAATAGGAAGTACAATGACTCTTTACTGTGGATTCTATACCCAAGACTTGTGGAAGTCACTTCCATTCTTTTACAGAACCATTTGCAGTGAGACAGCGCGTTTAAGATGTTGAAAGAGAGGGTTACTGACATTGTTTCCTGATCGATTCAATGTATTCTTGTTCCACCTTAAACGCTTTTCATTTTTTTACCTGGATTTCGAAACAGACGCTTTAAAAGTCAGTAAATTTAGCTTAAGTTTAGTTTCATTAAGTTTCTCACTTGGCTGTGGTAAATATTACAAAATATAGATACACATATTTACGTCTTTAAAATCAATTTGCAAACTAAGTCTTTATTAATGAAGCCATTGGTGTGGGTATTACGAAGCGTGCGTCAAAAATTGACTTTAAAATAAGTTGTACATATCATTATATTAACTAAGGTATTATGGTCTTTTGGATTGTGACGCCGTGTAGTACTGTAGGTGGCTACCAATATTCCTACAGAAGGAGACCACATGGTTTCACAGCCCAGAAAACAACAACATTTTCACCTACCTCATTGCATTACTTGTATAAACGGTCTCAAAGATTATGTCGTCCCTGCTGATAAACCAGAAAAAATAATTTTTAATTTAGATACATTTCCCTGCGGGGAAAATTTTAGAATATTTGTTTAGTAAACATTCTATGAGGAGACTAAATTCCGGAAATGCTTGCTACTTCTCAGTCCAAGATATTTTGTTTTCCCGTTTGATTTCTAAGAACCTGAAAATTAAAGTATACAAAACAATAATCTTGCCTGTTGTTTTGTATGGGTGCGAAACATGGTCTCTCACTCAGAGGGAGGAACACAGATTGCAGGTGTTTGAGAACAGGGTGTTGAGGAGGATATTTGGGCCTAAGAGGGAAGACGATGGGGCATGGAGAACACTGCGTAATGATGAGCTTAAAAATCTGTACTCCTCCCCCAGTATTGTCAGGGTGATTAAGTCGAGAAGAATGAGATGGGCTGGGCATGTAGCGCGCATAGATGGGACAAGAGGTGTGCACCGGGTACTGGTTGGGAAACCTGAGGGGAAGAGACTGCTGGGGAGACCTGGACGTAGATGGGAGGATAATCTCAGGCAGGATCTATGGGAGATAGGAGGCGAAGGAGACTGGATTTTGTTGGCCCATGACAGGGTCCGATGGAGGGCCTTGGTTAATTCGGTGTTGAACCTTCGGGTTCGGTAAGCCATCTAGTTAGTTAGTTAGTTTAATCTCCCACTTGAGAAATGTCTCCAGAGTAAAATTTAAAACAAACTGTTATAAGTATTGGTAGTTTTTGTAGAAACCAAACACTATAAATCATGCAGATCTGTTCACAGTACCTAAGTACATCATATTTTCATCAACCCAAGTATCTGGGTCAGTTATGGAGACTGAAAGAAAATGTTTGTATACCATTTTATTTGTGTGTCTTGAGGATATTTAGATTTTTATGACTCATGAAGATGAAATAGAAGACATTCTCATTGAAATTTTAAGTATTATAAATATATTAATGTTTATGTCATTCTAATATTGAAGTAGAAAATTAAAAGTAGAACACAGATAAAATTTAATCTCAGTTTAAGAAAAAGTGTGTATCACATACAGTCTTTATTTATAATTTATGAGGGTGGTCGTGATTGATCTGGACTTTTTTTTTTACATAAATCTCATACATATCGTAACACTAGACAACAAGTTTTAATGAGTTGTATTTATCAGAAATGAAACTAATCAATTCTTATGTATTTTCGTCCGCTAAATTAGAAAATGACAGTAAAAAAGCTTAGTTAGTTCGTGTTTTGAAGATATTTAGTGCTTTTGTAAAATATCACCAATAAATTCGTCAATATGATATGCAAATGTTTAAAAAATTTCACCTACCTTATAGACGTTGTCTTTTGGCCTTTCTTCTGTATTTTACCTCAGGGGCATCTCTTACCACCGACCAGCAGTAATCAGCTATCATTGATGCACTCCATTTCCCCTGATAACGCCTTTCAAGAGTACAAATATCTTGGTGAAATTGTTCGCCATGTTCATCACTAACCGATCCAAGATTATCAAGGAAAAAGTCCAAGTGAGAGTGGAGGAAATGCATTTTAAGAGACATATTGCACCCCATTTTACTGTATGCTTTCAACAATTTGTCTACTAATTCCCTATAGTTTGGCGCCCTGTTGTTTCCAAGAAAATTCCTAACAACTGACTTGAAGGATTCCCATGCAATTTTATCCTCTCCCGTTAAAATGTCAACAAAATGTTTATCAACAATCAGGTTTCTTATTAGGGGGCCTACGAAAACTCCTTTGATTTTAGCCTCACTTAGGAGGGGAAATTTGTGAAAGAGGTACCTAAAGGCTTCTCCATTTCGGTCCATTCCTTTTACAAAATTTTTCATCAGACCCAATTTAATGTGCAATGCTGGCAGTATTATTTTACTTTGATCTACCAGTGGTTCACGGACAATATTTTTATTACCTGGTTCCAAGTTCTGTCGAAGGGGCCACTGTTTAGTTTCATAATGCATGACTGTCCCACTCACACAGGAAGCAGCAATATTTTGTGCAACCCTGCTGAAGGCCTAGTATGATAGCTATCACTTTTAAATCTGCACTTATACACCACTTATATTTGTCATAATTCACCCTGTTAATTAATTGTTTAATGTTATCGTATGTCTCTTTCATATGAACCGCATGAGCTATAGGAATACTGGGTATAAAAAGCCGCCACTCATTTCGGTTATGTTCTATATGCAGGGCATCCATAAGACCATCTACGTCATCACAAAATACAAGATCATCTTGCATGGAAAACATTTTTGTAAAGGAATCTGATGAACGCGATAACAGGATATTTTAACATTTTCTTCAAGTACATTCCATTGCTTAATTCGTGATCCTAGCAACTCTGCCTTATACTTAGGCAATTCTATCTCTCTCGCTAGATCATTCAGTTTACTTTGAATTACTCTGTGAGATGTAGAAGGTAACATTTCTGGCACAAACTCCTTATCTTGAGATGCCGATGATCTTGGAATGGCGTCATCTGATGGTGGTGATGGTGAGCATTCTTTGCTGCAATCAGCTGTGTAGGAGATAGGAGGGACAGGTACAGGTAGTTCATGATTGTGGGGTATAGGACGAATAGCTGAGGGAATGTTTGGATAGATCAAAGCATGTTTTTTCTTATTGTTTATGCCGATGACAGGAGGAATCATGCATCGCTGTTCCACACTTAGAATAACAGGGTCTGATGCCATCTTGTAGTGCTTCTATTATGATATAGAGCAGTGGTATTCAACCTGAGGTACGCGTACCCCCGGGGGTACGTGAAATTTAAAAAATATATTATTTTATGATAAACACTGAATAATCAGTATTGTAATTTATTTAATTTATTTTAGATGTAGATTATATACTATGTATAACTTGAATTATACACCAACAACTTTGGGGGTACAAAGTTGAAGAGAAATTAACAAAAAAGGTTGAATACCACTGATGTAGAGCTTATGGCTATGATTTTGGGAGTGAGAGCATTGTTCCAACCATTTACCATGAATAATATTTTGTCACTCTGGTGCAGACACCTTTTATGAAGAAAAGTTCACATCAACCTTGAACCACCCTCAGTTATTGGTGACATGGTAGAAAAGTGATAGAATACCTTAGAAATAACTATAAAAATTCTGCTTCAGTAACAACTTTTATTACACTGGAGCATATTTGAATTGTTCAAGATCCACAAGTGTTTTATGTGGAAATATCAACTGCAAAGACAAAGGTTCTGGCAGTCCAAGGTATGTCATCTAACACACAAAATCTGTTGAATTTTAAATCAATTGAACAAGTCATTACTTGTAAGTACCTGCATGAAAGCATGTTTGCTAAAATATTTTACTACTGTACACCAAAAAGCAAGAGGAGAGTAGTACATACAAAAGGTAAACATAGGAGCTGGAACAGTCTCGTAAAACTTCCTTTTGACTGATGACCACTATGTAAATCTTGTGATTTTAAACAGTCTTTTAATTGGATTTTCTAGGTGTCACTGAATAAAATCTTCCAAATCTGTATAAACTTGGTGAGATTCATCACCCTGATGATGACAGTAACCTCATCTGAAATATCACACTTCAAGTACACAAATATTACTATCACTCTTGGAATGAAAATTAAAGACTATTCTTATTCCCGAATTTTCTGTTGAAGGTGTTAGTTTCAATTTCTTGGATTTGCTCCATTATCTTATGTCCTTAAAATGTGTTAGAGACAGGTTCAATTTCAGAGAATTTCAGAACCAGTTTCTGAAACATTTTGTTTATAAACAATTAAGATGATGGATAAGATCCAAAGAATTGAAACTAATTAAAATCCTTTTGTTGTTGTGAGACCCTACATACTTTCAGAGTACTTAAAAGAAATTTACATTGTCACTTAACTGGTTATTACATGCAGATGATTGAAAATTCATTGCACCCACAAATGTACATAAGCATTTTATATTGCAGTAGTGAAGCAACGATTTAGGAATAGCGTAAAGGATGTGACAACAGTGCCATCAGCGGACATCGACTCAGATCATAATATGTTAGTTGCAAACGTCAGCACCAGAATGAAGAAAATCAGGAGTAGGGGGTGAGGAAGAAGAGATGGGACCTGGAGAACCTGAAGAGCGCACGAGACGAAGTAAGAGCAGAATTGGAAGGAAAATTAAGTGAAAGTGAAGGCGAAAGCATTGAAGAGGAATGGACGAATGTCAAGAAGTGCCTAACAGTGGCACTAGAAGAAAAGGTTGGTAGGATGAAAAGGATACCAAGGAAGGCATGGATTACACAGGCTATGCTCGATAAGATGGATGAGAGGAGGAGATGGAAGAATATCAACAGTGAAGAGGGAAGACAGAAATA